GACTGCCACAGCCTCCCAGAGGGCTGGGATTCCAGGTGAGCGGGACTAGGCCTGGGGGGACTCAATCAGGAAAGCAGTTTAGCAACAGTCTACCAACTGGGAGATAAAGGAGGCCTAGTCACGTAGCTACAATGTTCAAGAACAAGGCAAGGTTATTTCTTCCTACAATTCAAGAATTGTAAATAAATAAACAATCCATTCAATTGACATGTCTAAGAAATTACTTTTTTTTTTTTTAAAGGATACAAATCATGACAGGTACCTTTGGTAGTGGTAGGTGGAAAGGTGCTTAGAAAGGAAAGAAAATGTCTAATACCGAAAGCTTTCCTACCAGATCCAAGCACCCGGAGTACAGCACTTGCGCTCTAGGTGGCTAAAGATGAGTTCCTCTTCTCCCCAAAGGATTTCTCTTTCTCTATGCAGTGGTTCCTCTGTATCCCTGAGGGGACTAGTTCTACCTCCCCGCACTGTGCAAATCCAAGATGCTCAAGCGCCACAAGTAAAACACAGCAGTATTTGCATGACCTAGACACAGCCTCCTGCCTACTTTTAGCCATCTCTGGATTACTTATGGTGCCTGCCTTAATGCAGATGCCACGCAAGTAACTGACATCACTGAAGGAGCAATGACAGGAACGCAATGTCTGCACATGCGCAGCAGACATGTTGTTTTTCCACATTATTTCTGATCCAGGATTAGCTGAACCCAGGGATGCAGAACCCACGGATAAAGACAGCAGACCGGGTATCAATTCTCTCGGTGTCTTAACCTCATACACACAGAACTTTTAAAATGATCTATGGCAAGACATGAAATATCTGGAAACACATTCACTATCAGGGTCCCGTCACAAACCAACTACAGCAGTTTATTCTGGGTTTATTACTCTTTAAAGCAACAACCCTGAAAGCTGCAGCTTACCTTCCTTCCATGTTTAGGATGCATACTAGTTCATCCTCAAAAAATATCTCTGGTCCCTCAAGATTTTCAATGTCACTGAAGCCGTTACAAGGAACCTACGAAGAAGACATACGAAAGAAGGCCTCAGTCATGAGTATGAAGTAGCGGTCGCTCATCCACCAATCTGAGTCCATGGAAGGTGGTAACAACTATTCTGCACGGTCACACTACTTGCGCCAGGGGTAGAAAGTAACAATTATTTGTTAAAATCGTATTACTTTAAATTAATTATATTTTCATGCAGAAATTTCTGAAACTGCTAATTCAGTGTTCTGTGAGAAAAAGCAGTTCCCACACAAGGGCTAGAACTATAAAATCTAACTCGGAGCCGCCATTTTACATCGTTTATTTGCATCATACACCACTCTGAACAGAGGGCCTGGTGTGTGGTAGTTACGCCTTTAACTTGCTGGCTATGTTTTCTCCTCTGGACGTTGAGACAATAGTGCAGTGAGCTTTAAGACCCTCTTGGCTACAAATGCTTTGACTTCGCCACCCACTCTTCTTTTTGCAAGTAGCCCAGATGTCTGAGGTCAACCCATGAGCATTCCCTGAGCACAGGGACACAAGGGTCCTGTGCCAAAGCGATCACCCACCCACTGATCCTCCGTAAGTATGCTCCTGCTGTGTTCAAAGTCCCTGACATACTCCTAATTAAGTAGTGGTACAGGGAAGGAGGGAGCTGGAGGTGAGGGGTGCAACAATCCATCACTACTGGACAAGGCACAGACTGTTAAAAAATGCATACAGAACCAGTTGGACTAGAAGTAGAGATTGCAAACTAGTAGCCCATGACCAACCGCACCAAACAGTCCTCGTGCCAGTAAGACCCGCACGTGAAAACACATTTACACCTGGATTTACCACTTGGGACTGTGGATTAACTAGAGCACACTGTCTCCAAAATGGCATACAAATACTATTCATGCTAACATTAAGAAACATTTACAGAAATAAATTCTACTTAGGGAATGTTGATTTTTATTCCCCACGGGGAATTAAGTTCAAACTTGTCCAAAGTTCAAATTTTCCCTTTCAAAACTTGAAATATGCTGAAAACATTTCATATGTATCATCTCCACTGAGGAATTAAATTAGAAAAATCACAAGTAATCTCCAGTAACTAATCTTCAGTACACCACAGTACTTAAAAAATATTTCATCAGCTCTGTTTGTAGACCACCAGTCAGAAATAAAAATCTAATACTGTGGTCAGTTAAGAGTCAAATGGACTATTTTCTAAAGTTCCAAAAAGTTAAAAATCTGGAATGGATACAGAAATTTACAAGAGACATTTGGGGGTAGGGGACCAAAAAACATGCATTTCAGGGGGGAAAAAAAAAAAAACAAAAAAACTTTTCAGGGCTAAGGAATGCAAAAAGATTTGACTGGAGGAATAATTCTGGTTTACAGGTAGCTTTTAATCCTCTGTTACCTTAACAAATAATGGAGTTCACTATGGGGTAGACCTGCAAAGCTAGAGAGAAAAATCATTTTAATGTCATCAACCCTTCTGGAAAAACAACTGGGAAAAATTTATAGTGTTCAATCACTGATGACTCAAATCCTATGGAGGTTGAAAAAAATGAAACAAAACAAAACAAAAAAAACCCCACCAAAAAACAAACAAACAAAAAACCCAAACAACACATTTAACCTACTTGCAGAGAAATAATGCTGATCCGGATTCCCCCTACATTGTACTGGTCCCTCCCTACTCCCTCCACCCCCATTCTCTCTCGGGCTTTAGAAAAGTAAAGCTGGCAGGGACAAATGGCTTCGTGTTGTGGGATGGGAGGGAAGGGACACAATGACGCGCGGCCATGGAAGTAAGGGATTGTTCGTGCAATTGAAAAGGGAAGGTATCAACAAGAGCCGGATGAGCTAATGCTGATGGGCCCGGGCGCACACACCACCAGTGGGCGAACGGTTTCTAGCGACATCAACAGATCCTTACGTGCTCTGAAAAGAACCTCTTTGAGAACGAGGCTACAATCTTCCGGGCTTCTAACCCAGCTTTTTGCCGAACTTTATATTCCTCCAACCAATTGACGTAGTCGGTGGGGCTGTAGTGTTTCATAAGGGAAGGCCACCTACAAGGAGAGAAACACTCCCTTAGCTTCGCAGAGACTCAAAGGCGGCCTTGGCAAACAGAGCCGGCATTATGGGCTGGTGGGAGCGGGCCCCGGCCGCGGACCTGGTTCAGATCTTCACCGGGCAATGAACGCGCTCAAATGATGTGACCTTGGTGTGCCCATGAAAGCTGTATCCCCATTTCCTCATCTCCAAAATGAGGACAGTGGTAGCAACAAAAATAATAAGGGTGACAATGACAGTTCACATCGATGGCCCGCCTCCTAAAAGCTGGGCCCTGTGTGCGTGTTCCTTTTCCATCATCTCCTCTCCCGACAACGCTAAAAAGGTAGGTCTAATGGTCAGCCGTGTTCAAAGTCGAAATGGGGTTTCGGAAAGAGAAGTGGCCACCTCCCCACAAGGTCATCACACGGGGAGGCTGCAGGGCCGGCTCCGACGCGGGGCGGGACGCCGAAATCTGTGCCGTGCACAGCCCGCCGCCCGGGGATGCAGCGCCCGCTGGGTGCCCGCATCATCGGCTCGGTGTAAACACTCAGCTCGGCGTCGGGCACAAAAGAAGCGCGC